AAAATTCTGCAAGATAATCACAAACACAACATTTTGTCGGCGCGGCTGCTTACTTTGATTACTCATATAGATACACAGAAATATGAAACCTTAAAACTGGAGCACAAGAAATAGGTTAATCCATTCTTCCTGTCTGTCACAATTAACACGAGAGTCCTGTCTAGCTCTGTTTTGCACTTGCTGGATTGAGGTTTTTCATTCAGGCTGAAAAGCGTCAAAATATCTCCCCGGCTGAGACAAAGACGTAGTGTTCTCTGGGAGGATCATCACCATGAAAACATGGTATTAATCCTGAATATTAATCCTCACGCTGCCTACACATGTAATGATGATCCATCACTCCACTGTGTCCTTATTTTAAGCACTGACACCCATATAATACTGTAGATTTATTACAAAAAAACTGGGTTAATCCTCCCCAAAATGAGCCCTCTTTTCATTTATTTAAAGGCTACTCCATTTCCCTCCAGTACATTATATGTTTTTGTTGAATTCAGGAGTTATTTCTTTTATGAAGCTGTATCCGGCACAGCAGGGCAGGATACGTGGGTAATAAAAGAAGCTGCTGCTGCTCTCTTATCGCTCGTTTTATCCATCTATCTTCATGTTTCAGGATTTTTTTTTTTCTTTTTCTGCAGGATGGAAAACATTTTTTTCAAGACTTGGAATCTAAGGCACGCTTTTCTTTCTTTTATACACACCAGTTTCCCTTTTTGTCCTCTGTGTGTCCTGTGGGTGGGTCGTATTATGTCTACACACCTCATGTGTGCTAAAAACCTGCAAAACAGACACTGACACAGTGTAAACATTTGACTGCTGGGAGTCTCGTCTCCCATTTCCCTTAAGGAAGTGCAAGAAGTTGCCCAGACTGCTCTCCACCGGCCTGTCGGCTGCGCTGGGCTGGATTCACTCTCTCGCTCTTGTGGATCGAGCTGCAGAGAAAAGGCCCTCAGAGCTCCGGGCCTCCTCACGGCTCTCCTGGAGGTGCCACCCTCACCACAGCTCAACTCCATCTCTCTCACACACACTCTCACTCGCAACATTCAAACCAGAGCAGAGCCACCTACAGTAGCACTCTTGTTATGCCGTGGTGCTTTTTATATCATGTGTGCCAGTGGGCCATTTCACTACAGCTACTTCACGGCAAGAAAAAGAAGTCTGTTCGTCGGTTCTGCTTCGGATCAGCAGCCGAGAGTCGCCCTGAGCAACTTTTACACATTCTGATTCAGAGCCGCTGTGTGTGATTTTAATCCAACACAGCTTTTGACAAATGCAGCGAATGTCACTTCATGGTCTGTAAATGACAAACATATAAATGGGCTCTGATCAGTCCACATGTCACTCCTGCAGCATGTCCTGTGCATGTTTGTGGTTGTACACAGGACAAGTTTAAAGGTATGGGGATAGGAGATGAGGGGAAAAAGGTCAGTGGGAGTGAGAGTGATGGTAAATCTGGTGCATGGTGTCTATTCAACCATCGGCTAAACTAACTACATATCAACAATCTTTCTCCAGAATCACAGACTTTATGTTTAATTTTAAACTAACATTGCTCTTTCACAGTTAAACAAGTGCAGCGCCGTCATATGGCAGGTGACATCATAACATTATACATGTAAAAGTGTATTGTATCCACCCACAAGCAGCCATTCAGTAAAACTTAACTCAATTCAGTTCATATCAATTCGGCTAGATTCTATTCTATTCAATTCAGTTAATTTAAAGTCATTTCAGTTTGAATCAGTTCAGTTCAGTTTAGCTCAGCTTAGTACATTTTAATTAATTTAATTTATGTAGCGCCAATTCACAGCACAGGTCATTTCAAGGCCTTTTACATAGTCATAGTGTACTATAGAAAAAAAAAACGTTCTAATCCAAAGATTCTTTTTGAGCAGCTCTTTGGCGGCAAGAATAAAACTCCTCCGTAACAGGAAGAAACCTCCAGCAGAACCAGGCTCAGGGAGGGCAGTCATCTGCCTTAACCAGTTGGGGGTAAAGTGGGGCGAGAACAAGACCGTAGACTGAAAACCTGCCAAGTCTGAAACGGATTGGATGCATGGTTGTCAAAATATGCAAAGAACCCGTATGCACACACGTATGAGGTGTGTCACAAAAGATGTATTTCAAACCCAAGCTACAAACTACGAGTTTTCCCCTTCAGACGATCAACCAGCACGTCTACAGAGAGATCCTGCGGCGTTTGTTTCGTTCATTGCGTGAGAAGATGCGAGAGTTGTGGCAGGACAAGTCGTGGCTGCTTCACCACCTGCTCACAATGCCCTGACCATCTGATAGTTTCTGGCTGAGAAGAACATCACTGTGCTGGAGCAGCCTCCCTACTCCGTGTGATTTTATTCCTCAAAGCTCAAGGGGGTCATCAAGGGGACCCGTTTTGAAGACGTGGACGACATCAAGATGGCTGTGACGACAGAGCTGCAGAGGATCCCGGAAGAATGCATGGCAGCGTGGCAGAGAAGGCTGAGTATATATCTTTGCTCGGTCATTCAGTAGATGGCATTTGCATACATATGTTCTCAATCTGTCTCTTCTTAGAAAGGAATGGTTCTCAACAGCAATTATCCTGGAATCTCTAACAAAGTCCAGCAGAGCAAAACACGGTGCAGACATGTACCACCTGTCAACATGACACACTATTTTCACATTCAGGTGGATGGAAATGTAGCTTAACTTCATTGTATTTCATATTCATCATCGTTATGTTTGTGTAATTCTTCGTTAAAGAGGTGTGTGGTGAAAACGTCTCGAAAGTATTGAAACACGGTGGAAAAATCTTTGTCTTTAACAGGACCACCAAGCATTTTAAAGTTTATCCAAAGGAGGTTGTGAAAAGCTTTTATAAGACAGAGGGAGGAGGAATTTCTCAGCCCACAGAGGAAGACGTAATCCATCCAACCTGTGTTAAAACGTCAACATCACCAACGCACGACTTACACGGTTTTCACATGCCAGCGGTGATACAGGAAGTCGGGCTTGAAGTTTTACACAAGGCTGGATGCTGAGATCAAGGTGGAAGCATGAGTAATAAGTGAGAGAAAGCAGAGCCGGTGGATGGATGCACTGTGCAGCGTTGGATGGTGAGGCGCACTGACTGTGTGAGAGGTGCAGCGCTATGTAATGCTTTGGCCTCCCTGCGGCGGCCCTGTGCCAGCTCTGCTCTGCTGCCAAACAAGACCACAACATGGGCCTCTCTGCCTCAGCAGCAGGCCCTCTACTATTACAGCCATGCATGGCTGACCCCAGGCCTACCAGCTGTTCACAGGCACCGTAAATCTCAGTTTGGTGCTGTTTTCTTTACAACTGACCTCAGGCCAGCTGTACTGACACTGTCACTGAAACACTGCACTTTACGGGACTCTGAGGGGAAACCAAGCATGCCACTATAATGATAACATCAATCAAGTGATCGCCCTAAATGATTGCCTTTGTTCTCATTCATCTCCCTCGAGTACCAGTCGTTCGCTGTTAGGAGCATTATTTATTTTCCTTGATTTCATTCTGGCTGTCTTTTCTTTTTTCATTTTCTTGCTTCTTCTTTTTAAATCTCACTTCTTTTTTTGTTTAATTTGTAGGTCAGAGTGCTCAAAGAGACATGAGTTGTTTGTTGGCTGTGTTGCGCGTGATTACAGCGTAGCTCTCGGATTAAACGCTGCATTTTGTCAGGAAGCCGATAACCAGTTGACTTGACAGAAAATGTCATTCAGACTTTTTCTCTGCTTGGCTGGAACACGCTGTGGTGGAGAAAATGACACTTCTCGTTTGGGTCAGAAGCGCAAACCATGATGGCAGTTCTGCTTTTTTTTTCTCTTTGAAATACACACACAGACACGCACTCGATGACGCCAGCAGCTCTGGTCTGGTGTCTGCCAGAGTGTGAAATCACACACACTTCGCAGCCTTTTTTTTTGGTGTGTGTAGTCACACCCGTATTTTATGTGGTATTTTTGACAAAGAGAACTAAGGCCACGATGAGGCAACTGCAAATAGCTGAAAAGGTCAGCTGAGGAGTTTTCTTTCTGCAGCTACTACGGTAATTAGCAATTTTTAAAGTCCCTTTGGTCATTGATTTAAGCCTTTAAAACACATCTTTCCATGTAAACAATCCCTTCCTGCCTTAAAAAGCCTTGAATGTAACTCTAAACTTTTGCTTTCTTTACAGTGTGCAGATTTATGTAGTCCCTGCTCTTTCTCCATCTACTCCTTCATGACTTGCTGCACCTCAAGCACAACAGCTCCTCTATGACTTTCTACTCAAACAATGTAAAACTAACTGTGATTCAGCCATACATGTTAGAAACTGATTCTAAAGAGGACTAATGACATGAAAAGCCTCACCTTACAAGTTTACAGGATGCATTCCTCAGACTTTCCCGTGGGAAACTGAATCTTTTTTTTCAGACGTGGTGGTTTGATTGATTATTTGTGGACATGCTAACAAGATTTTTAAAAAATAGTTTTCCTATGGATCGGGTCTTAAGGCGATGGTAAAAGAAGTAATCAGATCATATTTGCAGTAAGTCAAAATAGCAATAAAGCAACATAATAAATACTTTCAAGTTTAAATCCAAACATTTGAAATCTTAATTACAATGTAAAACTATAACTACAGCGTCTACTGTCTGCTATTATGTGTTATCTTATATGATATACTGTGTATTGTACATGTTGGAAGTTTCTATTTTGTGGAAGGTCGATCTGAAATGTATCCGCTGAGTCAGAACATCATGACCTGACATGAGGCAAAATAATGCTGATCGTCATAATACTTGTGCATGTCAAGGTCTGCGATGTTTTAGATGGTGCGCCGGGTACAGGAGAAATTGCAAAATCTCAGTGAGTCATTATAGACAGATGACTGAGTCTGAGCAGCTCTGAGATGGCACAACCTGTGGGGAGCTAATTGACAACAAAAATGTCTCCTTCCATGAGAACATAAAACACCAGCAACAAGTACGTGATTAGTAGTCAAAGCAAACCAAAGGTGTATTCATAATGAGCTTTTTATTTAAAAGCACATGTAATGGAGCTAAGTACATTTAGCAGAAAAAAACAGCATTTCTACTATTTCTTTTGTACAAAAAACAAGACAATACAAAAATACTAATATTGAATTTTAATACAATTGTGGGTGTATTTTTTTTTGAATGCATATTACAAACGTAACTATAACAATCTACAATAGTTTAGTTATCTAGATACAAAAATCTGTCAATCGATGCTTTTTAAGCAGCACTTTTTTTGTAAAGAACACAGGTCTGTAATCATAGTGGATATATCTAAACATGTTAAGAAACAATATCTTACAGAGTTAATTTTAGTGATCTATACATTATTTATATATTTATAAAAAGAGAGTGAAAACGGCTTTGTGAAATGATAGGACGGACTATACGATGAGAAAGATGTGCAACATGGCGGAGTGTGTTGTTGGAGGAGGATATCTGAGTAGGCTGTAAATAAAAAGGACTTCTGCGTCTGGTACTGTACAACTGTTAGTGATTATACAGGACAGGCTATAAACATGCAAGGTTAAAGATGCTTCTTAGCAGAGAATAGAAATATTAGATCCACAGTTTTTATAACGTTCACCTGCTCGCTCGCTCTTTTGACACACGCGCACGCACAAACACACACACACACATTTTTGTTTCATTTGACACACAGTTTATCAAGAGGGGGGGTCCTTTTCACAGGGCACAGCGCTCGAACGTATGCAAACACACAAGCACACTCACAAGATGTACAAGCACAGGCGTACCCACACAAGATTGTACACAACACACACACGTACACACACTGAGAGACAAACATCCATTGCCAATGAGTGATTGGGTGGGTGAGAGCCCCTCCCTGCCAGCGGAAAGAGCCCAAATCATCCCAAAATAATGTGCCAGCTTAGCTGTAAATCATCACCCTCTTTCCACGGTGACAGACCGCACCCCTTCACTCTGCCCACCTGCCCCCTTCCTGGTTAGGAAGCCGGACAGACGGCCCCATCACCTGGGAGCGGCATGGCACAGCCACGCCTCTCACCAGGATGCTGGGAGCCTGTGAGGTCTGCCTCACATTCCACAGAATTCACCCCCCCGTTTCTACATCTAACCCTCAAAAAAAAAAAAAAAAAAAATGCAACATCCCGGGTTTGGGCCGCTCTGAAAGTCTGCTACAAAAAGCTTGACGTGCTGATCTGGAGACAAAAGTATGTGAGGTTGGAGGGCTTCACTTTCCAGAGTAGAAAGAACTGATCTGGCTCAAAGGCCTAAAAAAGATCAGAGTGTGATCCCCTGGCCTATTCAGGGTTATTCTATTAAAAGTCATGCTATGCTATCGTTATTCTTACTTGGACTCAGTGTTTCTGTCTCGCGACATCAGCATGTTCAAGTTTTTCTTCAGTCAGACATCTCAGGCAGCAAGTGGTGATAATGGATAATGAAGTTGAAACAGTGCTATAAGTTATATTTTTCTATCCTGTTAATATTTCTATGCAGTAATATCCTTCCCTTCGCTAAGGAAGTTGTTGTCCTACGGCGTTCCAAGGCCACAGAGAGTCAGAGAGGAAGCATCACTCTCTCCCTAGGCAGGGGGTTTGTATTTTTTTCTTAACTTTTTTGTCTTTTCTTCATTTGTGTTTTTCTTCCCTTCATGTGGTTAAACTTCATCAAACCTCCACACCCTCAGCTCTGCCTGTCAAGTCATCAGTTTGTTTGTTTTTTTAATTAGGTTTTCTATTTTAGCTTCCAATTCTTTTCTGTTTGTGCTCAAAAGGATGGGCTCAAAAGTTTGATTAGTAGTTAGAGTAAATAACAAGTCTGGATAGTAAGAGTGGACTCTGCTGTGCAAATCTCAAATCTGACACCCTAGTCCACAAAGCACCTAGCTGGGCACTGCGAAAGGGAGGAGGATGCCATTTAAGAAGCAGCTACAGTCTCTTGTCGCTACATTCTACTGTCCGATGGGAGTTGAGCAGCGCTGTGATTGGCTCCTCGGTCACAGGAAGAAGACGTGGCCTCTCTCACACCATGTTGTGGTGGTTGTTCCTCTCGATGATGTCGGATGAAGGGAGCAGCTCCTTCTTGATCGGGGAGGGCGGGGGCGTGGCTGGCTTCACCCTGGGCTTAAACAGGTCTGACACGTAGAACACCTGGCGGACACAGAAGGAGAGCGAGATGAGGAAACAGATCAGCTAAGAGAGAACACGGAAATATCACTTGAAGGAAGGAGTCTGTATGTGTGTCTGTCTGTTCTTTGCTTTTCTTGACAACCGTTCATCTTATCTACTTCAAACTTGGTATGTATGTTACTGGGAACCCGAGGAAGTGCAGTGCCGAGTTTAAAGTTGTTTGGATGAGCGGTTCTCATATCGTGGCTAAACGTTTCACTGTAGTAGCCTTAGCATGGCTGCCTATTAGCAAAGTTGTCTCTGTTGCTAGGCAACCTAATCAATGCAAGATATGAATGTTCTAACAGATCAATGACATCAGATGCTACATCTACACTAATACTTTTTTATTTCTAAAATGGAGTGTTAAAAGGAAATTTATCTCAGTGCAGATGAGTGCCTTAGCTCGCGTTCAGAAATAATCTCTGTGCAAACCAACACATAGTTGTCGGCGATAAATCAATAGCGATATGAATTATTGTTAGACATCGTATTAATAGTATTGAGAAAACTATTCAACATAGCTTTTGATAGTTTCACCTAAATGCATGCAGGTGCAATTTGCCATGAAGGCACAAACAATCGGTTGCATAAACAAACCCCATGTAACCACTTTAATCAATTATGAGCCCACTCTGTTGTACCTTGACAATGAAACCCTTGGCTCTAAAAAATACAGCAGCTTAATGGTAAGAAGTAAGACTGGAAACATCCTCAAAGACAAGAAGGTAAGCAACGCCTGTAGCCTTATTTGTTGTCTATATTTAAGGCGAATGTCTTTGTTTTCTTCTGGAAAAAGTCTTCATGACAGTAGTCCGACAAATCAGGACAGCACAGCCTTCATTTTAGGGCACCTAAAACTCCGGAGTACCATGGATGTGAGGGCTAAACATAGCAGAAGTGATGTGTTTTAAAATGAAAACCTAACAGTGTGGAGGTCACCAGGGTTTAACCAGTGACAGCAGGCTCTGCATGACTAAAAAGTCAAAAAGGGAGGAGAAGGGCAGAGCACTTCTCTGCTAAATAAAGATTACATTTGACTGCATCAACATGTGGAATTTGAAAGTTCAGTTTTAGTGCAAATGCACCACGATGATTACAGTTGTAATTTACATATAGCATGCTAAACTTGTCTCAGCTGATTTGCCTATCCTTCAGTGAGGATACTGAAGTCTGTTCCTATAGCAACATTACCAAATGAGCAGCACATTTATCCTCTTCAGCTGCGGGTTCAAATGTTTTCTCTTGGTTTACCAGCGTCACACTGTCTGGAAAAATCAAATGTGATTGCGGAAGAACGGTGAAATGATCAGAAATGGTTGCTCATGAATTACTACCACTCAGCTGGATCTGGAGCGACCGTGGCAGGTCTTAACAGGACCAATGTGGATAGGCACCCACATGTTTCAATTATCTGCAGTTAAAGGGAATATTATATTACATCATAATGCCACGAGGAGGAACTCCCTATCGCCTTCCTCAACTGGTGACGCTGAATAATCTGGCGGAGGGAAGTGATCGCAGCATGGCTCACCCTAATGGATCCGATTTTGTGAATGGTGACTAACACACTATTAAATTATTGCCCAGGGTGAATTCCCTTTTACATCAGCTGTGAGAGCATAAGATCAGTCATCCTGGTGATAGATTGATGGCGAATGAAGGAAAAATGCCAAAAAAAAGAAATCGCTTCCTCATGACTTCATGTGTCCAACAGGAAAATGGGCAGGAATGGTCAGGAAGTGGGACCATGGAAACCGCTGTCCGCTGTAAGAGTGGATTACCGTTTCCACTTGCAGGGGCCGGGGGTCAGTCATGAGCAACAGTGACTTCGGCTGCGGACTAACATACACAAACACAAATACACGTAACTGGCAGGCGCAGCAGCTTTTCCTTCCGTGCTGCCAGTCCACGGCGAGCAGGGGGGGGAGGGCCGAGGGGAGAAGCTGCCATTCAGCGCTTGAGCTCCACGGGGGAAAAACAATATGGATCATTCTCATAGGAGTCACATATAGGAAAATACATGGTGCTCTCATATGGGAAATGCCCTTAAGGGAAAAAACAAGTGGGCAGCTCAGCGTTCATCTTTGGAAAAAACGGTCGACATGCAATCACTGATGTATTTATGCAACAAAGAGCGTCTCATTCCGGGTGGTGGGCTCGACACAAAGACGTTCTCCTCTATTTCTGTTTGACATTTACCGACCATAAAATGACCTTTGCTGCTGACCTTTGACTGATGGATGACAAGTAGATAGATACCTCCATAACACGCAGCTGCTTTCATGCTTTTAAATGGGCTCTTTGTCTCTGCCGCAATTAGCCTGTGTGTCATGTATGTTATATTGTACATGATATGATTGGGGGAGTGAGGTCATATCTCTGAGAGTCACCCGAGCCGCCATGGGAAACACTCCACGCTCGTTTCCCAACAGGATGCCTTGCTTCCAATCACACTGGGCCTTGTTGCTGCGTCACCCAAACCAGTCACCCTTGAACTGCCATGGTGGAAGGCTTATCATGACCTCACAGTTTCCTGCGCGTGACATGCATACACATACACATGCACCCAAAGTCTCCAGGCCCATTGTGTTGAGTGATGCACACTCAGCAGTTTTTGTGCCGTAATACGTCCACAAAGAAAAAAAAAAGGTTGTTTTTATATATATATATATATATATATATGTATATGTATATGTGTATGTGTGTGTGTGTGTGTGTGTAACTTTTGTGTCTTTAATTGCGCATCTTTACCCACTATTTGAATGTCACGCCTGACACATAAAGAAGCTGAGTCACAAAGGAAGTGGGTGCACTAACTTGCAGGAAATGCAAATGTCTTTAAAAAAAACTGCCTTTTGTCATAAAGCCCCGACTTCGTTTGCACGCACATGAAACCGGCTATGAATATGTTTGCTGCCTAACAGCCAAATAGAGAATGCAGTCACACCGTGTAGGTCAGACTCTTACATCAGATTTTATGTTATTGTCACTGCAAAGTGCACGGTAGCATCTAGTGCAAAAGAAGCAGTTAATGTGCAGGGCAATGTGAAAAGTCTAAGTGGAACAACTTTGAATACTGTTTGAATGTGGCCTAATACATATCCAAGATGTATGAGGAATTTATAATATATGTATGCTATGTAGCTTGAAATATATTTACATGTATGTTTAAGAGAATGCTAGCAATCAATGCTGTCTCATCACATACTGACTGCATGTGTCTAATTCTAGATGTGCATCCATTAAAAAATAACTGTCTGTGTCCTCTGCTTTTTGAGAAACTCAGAATTTCTCATTTTACATTGAAGCTGTATCTCTGGCGTCTACACAAGTTCACTGGCCACACAGACGCTGCTTCAATATCCCAGACCCCCAGTATTTTTGCAGCACGCTCCAGTGCCCCGTCCTCCAGTTAATGCCTGACCCAGCTCCTCTCCACAAATGACAATGAACCTGGAAAAACAAATGAACACAGCCCCAGCTTTCCCCCTGACAGCTGCTTCCTGCTGGATTCAGTCCTCTTGACCTTTATTATGACACATACTGAAAAGTAGGTCACTGTGTCTGATAGGAAGCGCCAGGTAGGACAGACGGACTGCTTTCCGATTCTGTGGATCACAATCCTACAGGCGCATGCAGCAGTTTCTGGCTCGAAACAGATATTCATCTACATATTCTTCAAAAAAACAGACACCATTCATCATCTAATGTGCGGACAGACAAAAAAGGGATAAAGCTGCAATTTAATTCCAACAAAGCCTAAAGCAAAGGCTACAAAGCCGCAGTCTGACACGTCACTCCATATGAACGCGTGCGGACTCATTAGTATTGTTCATTTACTGGCACTCAGTTGGGCTTGCACTGGGAATTAAAGAGGTAAATGTACCCTGAGGAAACCTGGACAAGCAGTGACAATAAAGTCGCGAAACAACACACGTCTCCCAGAACGAGTAAATTAAATGTGCTTGGAAAGGAAGACGCCATTCCTCAAGGCCATAGAACTCATTAGGAGATGTTCAGAACAACTGCTCGCAATCGCGCACTTGGGATTAACGTGCAAATCCACTAATTCCTCTAATGCGTTCTTTTGTTCTTCAACTCTGACTTTTGGATCTAAGGCAAGTGTCCTGTCAACGTTTGGCTCTTTTTACACACAGGCTAGATTAATGGACCACATTACCCAGCCTGCCACAGGACTCTTAAAAATGAAGTGTTTCTGATTTATCAAGAGATTTTATGAGATCGTATGAGTTCGTTGATCAAAAAAAAAATAACCTGTGTGTGTTCTCAATAATCGTCAAACACAAATCAAAGCCTGACATGTAAACAGCAAACTAAAAAGGACACGTTTAGATCAAGGGAGTGATATTTAAAAGTGTTTTGGAGCTCTGAACATGTCGAAACGTGGTGAAGGATATACGCTATGACGCGTTTCAAAGCGTGAACTTGCGCTTTTATTCTTCCATTTAACAGGAATAATGACCAAACCTGTGGAGTCGAGATCTTAAGATGTTCACACCTTGATTTCGTTCTTTCTGCTGGCAATTCTGAGCCTCGCAGGCTTTATACTTTCTCTGTGCTGCCTCCACTCATCTCCTGTCAGGTCCTTTATGCTCCGCTGCTCACCGAGAGGCCAAACCAGCCGAGCTAAAGTACTCACAGATGTGTGTTTCTACCAAGACCGGGCAAATCAGAAGGGGCGTCAAGGATTGTAAAACTAACTTCACTGCCTTGATCGGCAGGGGTTTGACTGTGCGTGTGTGTGCGTGTGTGTGCGTGTGTGTGTTTTATGCATGTGAATAATGTGTATGTGTGCATTAAGCTGTCTCTGTGCACGCAGGAGGGTTGTGGAATAGCTGAGTTGGATTAAACCCACGCTCGTCCTGGGCCAAGATGTAGACAAGGACTCCTCTTTCCTGTCACTTTCCTCCCTTCCTTCCTTCCTTCTGCCAGATCTGCCCATTCAGAGGTCAGCATACTTCTAAAACCAATTTTTTTTTTTAATTTTGTACTTGTCAAGGCTGATGTCGTCCAGGAGCTACGCCCAGCTGGAGGAGCACTCAGCGTTACAGTCTATTGTTGCTGCTGATTTCTGCTCAAGAATCCTTGAATAATCTTGGCAATCAAGGACGACACCATGCAGCGTGTGATTCATATTGTGTGTCTGCACATTTTAGCTGTTCCAAGGTCTGCCCAGGCGCCACGACTAAGGTCTTCTTGAATTTTACGAATCTAATTCTTTCCACGTTCACTATTCAGGCCTTGTAGAAAGGTAAGAGTTGCTTGTGTGTGTGTGTGTGTTTCCATACTTTTCCCAGAGGCAGCAGAGTTTAGCAGGAGCCTGCTGTGCTGATAGAACCAGAGCCACCAAATAAAAAAAAAAAAAAAACCCCAAAATAATTAACAGCCTCATTCCTGTTTCAAAGGCTAATCCCCCCTCTCTCCTGCTCGCTCGCTCTCTTTTTACACTCCCCTTATTTTCCTCTCGACCCAAATTCAATTTTCCTTGGCTCCATCTAAGCTTAGTGTAATGATGAGGGTTACGAAAATCATCTGGCAACTGCTGTGACGATATGTCACAAAAGTAGCGAGGAAGGTTGTAGAGTATGGATTTGCACCAACAGGCAAACGCACACACACACACTTCTGAACTATAGCCTGGCTCCAAGCAATGTGTTATTCATTAAAGGGAATCAGATTCTCCTCACTTCACTGCCTGCTCCATTTCTTCTTTTCACCAAAAAAAGCAGGGAGGAGGAAAAGTGAAAAAAGAGAGATATGTAGAGGCAAACTTTATTTGAAGTTTGCTTCGTCTGCAGGATCCCCAGTGGTCAGTTATAGAGAAAGGTTGAAATCGCATACGGTTGAGGCTGTTCTGAATTATGCCATATTTTTGTAAAGTCTGTGAGTTTTGCGTGTTGTTGCATGTCGTGTGTGTGTGTGTGTGTGTGTGTGCACTTACTATGCAGTAGGCCACCAGGGCTCCCTGCACAAAGCCTGCCAGGACATCGGTCGGGTGATGCTTGTGGTCGGAGACGCGGGACAGGCCGGTGTAGAAGGCCATCATCAGCAGGGTGAACTGGAGCAAAGGGCGGAGGAGGCGAGCGCCACGCCATGTAAACCTGGACTGGAGGTAAAACTGGAAATAGGGAGGGAAGAATAAAATTTAATATGCACAGTTATTCTGCAAATTCTCTGTCATAAAAACCCTTAAACTAACAGAAACATTAGTGTACATGACATATACTATGCTAGTGGTGGCAGTATTAATGCTAATGCCATCCACTATAATTGCCGGTAATGACATGAACCCTCACACACACCTGCTGGAAATTTCAACAAAGGTCACGAAATGTTGCATTGCCTTTTTAACCCTGCACCTGCAGCGTGTGTGTGTGTCTGTGTGTGTGTAGGTGTGTGTGTGTGTATGTTATTATTATCTGAGAGGTCTAGACTGAATCAAAGTGGACAGACTTGCCAGACCCACAGAGAAACACATACTCTGCTCCACAACACACACTTGACTGCCTGAGAGCCGGACATTACTGATTCATGGTTCAACATCCCAGCTGTGAAAACAGCACAACCACAGAGAGCCACTGGACACACACACACACACATACACACACACACACACACACACACACACATATATATATATATACCCTGCAATGCACATTTCAACACTTTGTTGGGATGAACTCGCTACCCTCTGTTAGAGCAAACAGCAGACAAAGCGGATGCACCCCCTGCCACATACACTCCGTCTGCAGTCATAAAACTATTTTCTGGGTCATGATAAAGACTGAAGAGAACCTAAACAGGAACAACTATATCCAAGGCCACTTTCAGTCACTTTGTGCAGACACATGTAGCGTCTCGCGCTTTTTTTTTTATCCCCTTTACATGCGCAGTGAGTGAGGTCAGCCCAGGTTCCTCAGACATCCTGTGTTCCTGCACCACTCATGCCCTTAACTTCCTGACTCTCACACCCAGAGACAGAGGGCCTGGGAGGGCCAGCCTCCACCAAGGTCTGCCCAGACCAAACCTCCATACTTGCGTCTTATAATCAGCTCGGCGAACAATACCCACATACAGCCTCAGTGCCTCCTGTAGGTGTGGACTTAAAGTGCTGTCGCGCTTCCTCTACGACACTCTATCATTGTTCTTCTCCTCACGGAAGCAGAGGAAGCGATCCCTCCCATCCCTTCTAGTCTTGTTCTCCTTCTTCCCTGGCAGGGATGTTTAGACTTCGGGCTTCCTCTACAGTGGTTCTCAGGTAGCGGGCAAGGACTACCAATAAAAACTTTTTACTGGCATCCTGCAGCACGTGAATGAAATCCAAAAAACTATTTTAAGCTGTGAAGTAGGACAGAAGTGTGAAGATGAACACTTGAACTTAGTCAAAACAAGGAGTTACAGCGACCTGCCCATCAACTTGACCTTATCGGTGAGTAAACCCAAATAACCCATTCAAAGTGTGATTCAGCAGAAGCATGAACGCACAAAGAGAGAAGGTCAATGACCGTGTAAAATCTCAACTTGCTCTCTTTAAATCCAACCCGCACTCAGAATTCTGCCCTCTCAACCCGAGTCATCCTCCCAGAATTTGTCCTAAAATGTTAGATCTGAGGAAAACAACAATAAAGCACAACAAAATGAGCCCCAACAGATTTCCCATGACAGAGTGAGACAAGAGCGACACAAAGTCTGGTGGTTTCTAAAGGAATCCAGCTCATTCCAGCGAGATCTTCTCCCTCTGTCTCCATCGCTCTGACTCAAAGTCATCGCTAAACGAAAGAAAACATGAACAAACACAACAAAGTGAGAAAGAATGAGAGCGAGGGCTTGCTTTACATGCCTGTCCTCTTTTTCCTTCCCTTTCTTCTGATTCACACCATACTGTGAGAAAATAGCATAGCTGTGGTTAGGACCATTTATAACTCAAACAAAAATATTGGTTTTTACTTAACCAACAACATGCTATCTACCTCAGTCAGAATTCTGTAGGCACGAATAACCCGCGGAAACAGCCCGTCCCTTTTGCTACTGGAGAGCATATGCATTCACAGATGTTTTGTGCACGTTAGACAAAACAGAAGATAGCTCAGTAGGACGCATGAATGCACGCACATGCTGGTTCTCTGTGGCTGCGGTGGAGCTGTACAGCGTGCCGTGTGGTCTGTGCCAGTTATCTGTGCTCCATCACTGAAGGCTGCGACGCTGTGAAGGCGCAACTCAAAACCACATCAGTCACAGATGCAGCGCTGAGGAGCGCTCGGCAGGAAATGCAGTGCTTCACAATCACAGAGTGCCAATTAGCGAATGACTCGGAGGGGGGAGGCTGTGGGAGGGAGGACGAGGTGACAGCCACACTGTGGAAAGATGACACTTTCACACAAGCGAGCAAAAACACCGGCCTGAGGTTGAGGTTCGGAGGAACCCGAGAAAGAGAAGATCCATTTTTGTCTGTGCTTGTGGTGAATGTTGTGGCTTTGTTGAGGACAAAACAGACTTCTTGATAACTAGTTTATTTTTTACCAGCACTGTTCTTTAGAAAGTGATGCTTAGTTGTCCAACACTGGTGAATGATTTAACATTTAAAGAAATAGTTGAAGTCAGTGAGAAGACGATCATATCTATCTGTTAGATGTGTTTCTAAATCTTAGCTTAACACAAAGACTAGATACCGAGGACTACTTTTTTTTCTTTAAGTTTTCTATTTGTTTTATATCAATTTAAGTTGAATTCTTTTGAATTTATCTGACAAAAACAAGAAAAAAGCAGAATGTCACCTCACCTTGGCCTCTTGGAACTTGTAATTTCACTTTTTTTTGATGAACTATTAATCAGTGGCATTGGCATTTACCTAGTTAAATATTTTTCTGCTAAAATGGCATTTATTCATACTGGCTACGTCATGTGTCCTCAGCGAGAAATTCAATAAAGTTTAAAATAGAATAAAGTTTATTCTTGTGATTTTAATAGATTTTGCCTGCAGTAACATCTGTCCCAGTAGAGAACACATGAGACACACAAGAATACTTATTTGAAGAGAATGGGAGCTTCTGAGAGTAAAAACATAATGTCACATGACTGCTTTTCAGCTGGCACAAACAACAAAAAAAGTGCAGCATGTTCTTTTCCCCACTAGGAATGCCTCCACTGTGGGCTTTGTTTCAGGCCGGTTTTATATTCCAAAACAACATCTACAAACTGTTCCGCCTCGCCTCCACTCCCCTCCATGGACCAGCCTCCTCTGGCGACCGTCCTGAGTTGGCCACAGCTGGAACATTGGTCTCTGACTAGTGTGTCACACTGTGGTCTGGATGCAGCACATCTCCATTCCCTCTCTGCTTTTTCCCTTTGCTTTTTATTCAGCTCTTTCCCTCGGTCTGACCAGAGTGCAGCTGTAGGTTCACCCGGAGGCTGGGAAATACCCGCAGCAAGTCCTCTGCAGTGCAATCCGCCACAATACGCCAGAACTTCAACTGTCAGTCCACCGTGAGAACCAAGACCACCTTGTAACCAAGCCAGCCAGACCCAAAACACTGACTCTCCTCTGCTGTCTGTCTTGTCTGTAGCATGCAAAGTGAGCCTGAAACTTGTGGTGTGTAAACAGAGGAAGAGGGGGAGGAGATGATTGGGGCGCTATGAGCTGGCAATTGTCTGTGAGTGCGTGTGTGTAATTAGACTGTTTGAAGCATGAAATGCCTCTGGGGTGCTAAGCCCCACCAGACGCCCACAACAGGTGGAGTGAGAGGGTGAGGTGGAGGGTGAATGGGAGAGGACAGGAAGTGCACATGCAGCTGCTCTGAAGAAAACAGGTGGAGTGCATCCATCCATCTCTCTAAAGAGTAAAAAGGATAGAGGAGAGGAGGTGGAGCCGTGGGTAAGAACAATGTTTCGTTTCTGTCTTCAAGCCCCGAATCCCCTCATCAGTGCCCAGCCTTCTTTCCATGACTCTCCACTAACTGTAGACTATTGTTTCTGAGAGTGTCAGCATGTGTGTGCCTGCATGAAAGTGAGTGTATAAAAGATGATAATGGTTACTTACAGCCAGGTAAAGCATGGTAAACATTGAGAAAGAGGCATGTCCTGAGAAGAAGGATTTCCTGTGGAGACAGAGATGATCTTGTTTAATTGTAAGTATTTAAAACACACAGTTTACTGTATAAAGTAGCATGTGTTTGTCCTGAAACAATCGGTGCGCAACGTTCTGTTCGGTATGAAAATTCCTTGGTTTGGTAGTTCAGAAGTGTCTTTATGTTAGCAAACTAGTGCTAATAGAATGAACATTGTAGAGCACCAGCATCTACTTGAACATTTTCGCAGCTAAGCCCATCAGCTATGGCATGCTAGCAGAGTTACACGTTGAGTTTCACTTTTAATTGGCCACCCTGCAGCCAGAATCAAAAAAATTCATGAAACATCAATCAAAAAAAAAAGGTTCCATGGCAAAACTGGGAAGTCCTTCAGCTGCAATCATGAACATCCTGGAACAAAAACTTTGGGACTTTTCAGCTGAATTGCAGGCTGTGTTTACACAGTGATAAAGCAGATCGGAGAAAAGTATTAAAACAAATCAAAAATATTAGTAGTGAAATATCTATAGCATGTAGCAACACCATTCCAAAATTGGAAACACAATTGCCAATACTGATTCAACTTTTTTTTTTTTTTATGATTAATGCATTATAGTTTTGGTATATTGCACAGACAACCATGTTGAGCGCGCTCTTCTTCTAGTCATGGTTGTGCAGTTTCCACAGAGGTGCAGGACTGTATTGCAGTTACAAATGAGACCACGGTGAGTAATAATGTGACAGAAAGTAGCAGAAAAACGCCCAGAAACTGCCAGGAGTTCAAAAGGTTAGCTGTAACAGCTATGGCCGTTTGACACTTATCAAAAACATACTAGACTGTGTGCGTTGTTGTTTGCACAAACCTGGCCTCCTGTACTTCGCTCTCTTCACCAGCGCAGGTGTAGTTGGTGATGTACCCCAGTGAACAGTTGATGGTGGAGAAATCTGGTCGACACACATCTAAGAAGTGAGGTCTCATCCGACCCACCGACACCTTGGCGATGTCTGTGAATGACTGGCTAACGGCGCAGCCAAAGAGAAACACACCCATCTGCAAGATAACACACAACAGCAGTTAGACTAACATCAATGCAGATGTCTATAATTGACTGTCAGCTTAGCTCTGTCTCTCTACTGTTTCTACAGCTGCCAAGATTTCTTTAAGTGCACAGAGCATATATTTAGAATAATGCCTGGATGGTGGCAGATTTTTTATTCAAGTTTCTTTCTTTCTTTTTTTTTTTTTTTCAAGTTTAGTCTAGTCTGACAGTGTTGATTCTGTGGCTGACGTGAAGGCCGTGTCAGATTTTATCAGCTGTAGCTGATGGTAGTGTCTTAAGTTGGTTGAAAACATCACTACTGTTTTCAGCTGACACATCATAAAGAGAGGAACTTTCAAAGAAGTGTTGTGCTTGAATATTCTAACAAAAAAGTTAGAAGACATGGATATTAGCTGCTAATATTTGCATGACACATTGATATAGTTGCTCCAAACATGTGCCAATACTTCATAGTGGAGGTGCCAGTCAAGAAGAAATTGTGAAGTAATCCTAAACCTAACATAATCCATAAAATGACCGTCTGAAATGCCTATTGTAGGTAGTGATCGAGCCAGTCAGAAATGCTGACAACCTTAACAAGAGCAGAAAAACACACTTTTTAATCAGAGCATCTTTGAAAGACACCATCAAAATGCAATTTTTCTCTTGCCATGGTTCAATGCCTGACACGTCTGCCATTCCCATTTACATTTACAAAGTCATGACTGGACATTTGCTGTTTAGGGAAATCACTTGAACATGTGTAAAATCTCTCTTGTGCAGAGCTGACCTGTTTGTAGAGAGCCGCAACGTAGGGATTCCCAACAAATGACTTGGTTCCCTCATGTAGCTGGTGAATCCTGTAGCATTCCCCAATCACAATCTAAAAGAAACATTGATTTTAGAGATAAACAGAGACTGATCACATCTATTTACAAGACAAATTCTAACACTGTTGTTTAGTCTGCTAATAGTACAGTAGGTTTAGGTGCAGAAAACCATGCAGTACGAGGTTAACGTTTGAGTGAGTATCATGCAGGAAATCTAATTCAGGAGATGACAGATGGAGGTGAAAGGGTATGTTAAAGGACAGACATGAGTGACAGAATGAGTGAGAGTCTCACACACACAAACAAACACACAGAATGAGCATGGCCTGCCTTTCCATCAAGCAGTTTGGATGTGATGGGAGTTTGATGCTCTGCTCGATGATATGATGTGGCCTTTTATGTGGGATGTGAAGGATGATAGAGGCAGTGAGGGTAATGGGAAAAGGAAAACATCAAAGCTCAAACAAATAGTCCAGACTAGGTGAGCATCAGTCAAACTTTGGCATAAGGAGGATTTAGAGTGCATCATCTGCTATACAGCTTAAGTCCAGTGGGCTAACCCTGACTCCTGCTATTCCAACCAGGTGGTTTTGAGTAGTGGTGGGCCTCACGGAAAGACCTCATCTACACTGAGGAGGCTTATGCCAAACCAACCCTCGGGGCAGGGAGATGTCAATCAAATCTGTACCACCTGGGGCACCTAACGGATGAACCGTCTACTTCTTTTTCCTTCCTCTTTCCACATTTCACTCTGCAGCCTACTTTCTCTGGAAACATTTACTGCCCATCTCTAAGCCAGTGGACACTCAGTAAGCCAGAACGTACACAGGTGTAAGTTCTCCCACACATCCTATCATCCTATTAATGTGGATGCTTACTGTTTTTCTGTGTACACAATCTGTGTGAATTGTTAATCCTGATAAATACACCTATCCTGCCTGTTGGGTGGTCAGCTGGCAGGCTCACAGCCAGAAGAAACAAACATGGCGCTGTGTTAGTGTGTTTGTGTGTGCTATTGTCATTGAATTGCTCAGATCAGAGCTGGAGATTAGAACCGCAGGAGGTTGACACAGGCCAAAGAAGTTTATTTTGGTTGTCAGCATTTACATTCAAATGCTCTCCTCCCCTTCGTCTCTATTGCCCCATTTTGGTTTATTCCCACGTGTCTGGTCGTCTGAGTGTAGACGGGACATCTACGATCAGACCAGAGGCCTCAAAAGGTGGGTTTATTCGGACCATCCTCGTGTATGCTTATAGATGTCCATCTCAGTATTGCTAACTCTGTTTCTCACAGTGGAAACACAGCCTGACAGACACAGATATGTCTGACAAGCTGGGATTTCGCTTGCAGTGGAGATAAACAAGAGGTCCCAACTGGAATCTGCTACCAGCGCCTGTATGTGCATACATAAGTGTACATACATGAGCCTGCACAAGAAAGCGTGCACGAGCGTTAAAGGAATGGCGTCGGCATGGCAGTAGACGCCACTAATGGAGCGCAGCTGTGTCAGGCACGCCAGCCTTTGCCCACACGTGAACATGCGAAGGAACTAACTAAGCCCAGCACGGTCTCCTGGTTCTCATAAGCAGAAGAGCTGAGCTGGTACAGTGTGCATGTGTGTGCCCACCGAGCTGATGGCGGTGGCGAAGCGACGGCTTAGTCTGGGAAATTATGAGGGGGCTGACAGTCTGGGGGCTGTAAAGATCATCTAGCCTTACCACGTGCCACTAATTGACATACACCCACCACATGTCATTAGGACATGTTTCCACTCGCGCCTAACTCTCCCCCCTTCTAATCTGCTGGCACAACACCAGGAGCTATTCCCGTTTTTCTGGAGCACGGGTCCAGTCATGGGAATGAAGACTTCACGCTGCTGCTAACTTGTGAGACACCTCAGGCTACCAGTGAGGCTCCGCAGACATGGGAGAGAGCGCTGACACGTTCACCCGGAGCAATGCGCAGGGCATGGAGGGCATGGAGTCAGGGTGCAGGGATACCAGCGGGAGGCATGGGAATGGACCAGGAGCTCGTAAAATCTCTTTGGTCTTTGGCATGCATGTGTCAGCACACATACACACTAACATACACTTCCTAATGTCGCTTGGGGGGCCTCTCGCTACCACTGACTCACTTAGCAAAGTAATAAAAAACAGGCCATTACAAATGACTCAAAGAAGCTATGGAAAAATAGAGCATGATGAAGAAAACATTATAGGATGGAGGCGGTGGGGGGGGAGACATGTAAAGCACATTTAGAGGAAAAAAAACGGAGTATTTTAGAAAACACTGCATGATAAGAAATCACTCAAACTTTTTGATGAAGTCTCTTTGTGAGATCTTGGACTGTGAGGTATCTAGGAGTCTGAGTACAAGCAGCAAACAAAGGGAAGTGTGAAGGTCGACTTACAGCGAAGATGGCAATAAGAATGCCAACACCACAAAGCACGGCATCACTAATGGTGTCTCCCTCTTTTCGGGGGTAGCGGATGGACTCGTCCGAACAGTAAAACCCGCGCTGGTACGGCTTTATGGTGCTAGTCTCAATGATCAGGAAAGGCAGGCTAGCTACAAAAGACACAAAGAGAGAGGACAGGAAGAGGGAGAGAAGAAAGAAAGCATAAAAGCACCAGGTCAGTGACACAGACATAAACAGGAGAGAACGAAGGGGGGGGAACACAAGGAGCATGCTGGCACCGGAGGGATATCAGAAGTAGGTGGGGTTCAAGGATGTCATGTATGGCCAGCTGAGAGCAAAGGAGTGACGGGTTTTCCCAAAAATAGATGACTTTAAACTTCAGACTTTGCTAGATCTCGTGTCACTCCTTTACAGCCGTTTTCATGAGCCTCGAGCCCTCCCCGTTTCTGCCTTCCGAGTTTCCCACCGCCGAGCGCTCTTGTGTCGGGGGGGGGAACTTACAGACACCGCGGGCAGTGTCAAGCCAACAGAAATGAGCACTGAGGAGGGTACGGTGCTTCTCTTGTAGGGGTAGTTCAGGCTGGAGTCACCGCAGTAAAGACCCCTCTGGTACGGACGAATAGAGGTGCGGTGCAGAACCAGGGTCGGCAGCATGGCTACGGACAGATGTATGAACCCATACATGAGTCTGACTCACAGACACAACTATTGAAGGAACTACATCACATAGCAGAATCCACTTACCTGTATACTGTTGAAAAAAATCAGGATTAAAACACATTCACAGAGAAAAAACTAAACAAAACACAGGTGTGTGTGTGTGTAGGCTTATGTTCACATTAAAAAGGCTGTTTACTCAGCAAACCCTCTCCTAATGCATCTGTTGACACGGTGACACCAGGCCATTAGAAACTGAAGTTTATCCTTTAGCATCACTTCTTCCTGACATAGCAAATAGACACTGATACTCAGGGTCCATTATTGAAGACAAAAGAAACCCATCAGCGAGGGGAATGTGTCAATACATTGCGAGTTTAGTGTTACAGATTGCAGAACAAGAGAGTGCCAGAGTTCCAGGCAGAGTGTCGGAATACGTTTTTTAACTGAAATATCGATTTAGAGGAAAAGAACGTCACGTTGGGAAATACGTTTGCTTTTTGCAGTATGCCTTTCCAATTCCAAACAGTCTTCATGAGAATCTAGAGGACCTTTGTCCACTAACGTCATCAACAAACAGACATGAACAGCTAAACACAAGGCTATGGTTTCCGGTTAGTCAAATTATTCCAGTTGTTTTCTTCTTCAACCACACACACCCACACATAGTGAAACATGTTCACCCACATTCTGCCCTGACAAGTGGAAAATAAATACATATCTCCAAATCAAAGGAATACAAATACATGCGTGCAAACTCTGGCTGGGACTTTCAAAGTTTTTCCTTGAGGGCTTTTAAAACGCGCTAATACCAAGAAAAACAAAAGTAAGCCCACCCAACTCTGGAACATTTTTCGCATGAGAGCATGTTTTTGGCGTGTGTACGTACGGCCGTAGTTGCTCATAAATAGAGGGAGCTCAAGACACGAAGGCGTCCCGAAGACCCACATGCAAACACATAAGCGTATACGTTCAATGTCAGACTGCACAGAAAGTATTCCCACATGCGGCTCGTGTGGTTAGCTCACATCACAAGGGTTTCTGACATTTGGGTTAAAGCGAGAGATCTGCTCATGAATGTTCCTAATGCGGCTGAAAACCACGGCTGTCGTCTCACAAGTGATGGGAGATGGAGATCGTGTTACCGGTCTGGCCTGAAAAACACAGCGCTCCCCAGTATGAACTTCTTGAGAACCTCAAAACACACTTTCTTATGCATGCTTTTGCGACACACTGCTCCTAGTTGAAAGTGTTGACTCGGATGCGTACCAGATCAATAAGTATTCAGGCGTTGTACACGGTAATGTGGGAACAGTTTTTGGTACATTTGTAACTGGGAAACCTCCAAGATCAAGCTCCAGAAAAGGCATAATAATGGACCCAGGGGTGAACTTTGAAAAAGGAAACCTGCTAACAAAAAAGTCTCTCTCCAGTGGTTAGTAAAGGGCAGCAGATGGGATGGTCACTGGCAGACACCTGCACAAACAGCGAGCAGCACCAGGGTTTGACAGACTTGCTGGTGGGCCCACACAGGGCAGGGCCGGGCTTTGGTAGTGTGTCTGAGAACTGTGCTGTCCACACAACAGGCAGGATTAACTGTGGGTGAACGCAGAATTACGGGGGCAAGGCAGGGCAGGGCGGTCAACACAACTTAAGACGAGTGGATTCCAGTGCAGATATGGGTTTCTGTTCATGCAAATCTCACAGGCTTACCGCCCCAATGAACTTGGCTACAGAATAATACCTTAAACAAAGTGATGTGTTAAGTCGGTGCACAGACTGGGTTCTGCTGGGTAAACAACAAAAACTTTTTCAGGAACTGGATTGTGATTTCTCTCACGCCAATCTCCGCTCTCCTCTCCCATTTTCTCCTCCTCCCCTGTCTTTCTGCATCCCCTCCACTCTGGCCTACTTGTGGGAAGGGGGGGATTCACATGCTAATGAGGAGAAGTGAAAGAAGGTCATGGGCTTAACAGACACACACGGACAAAAACTAACCGGTGCTTAAAGGCTAAACCGATCTGGGAGCGCCATGGGAAACTGGGGAGTTGACCAGCTGAATGACTGAGGCAAGATTGAGCGATTGAACACCTCGAAACTATCTATTGGGGGATTCATGAAAGCCTCTCTGTCTGCCCATTGCCCAGCCTTAAGATGCCAAGCTGTTTTGTGCTGCCATCTCCCTGAAAAACAGCCCAGTATGTGGGCATTCTCCTCATACCACAGCCAGTCAATGAAGCTCTCAGCACAAAATCAAACACACTCCAGCATTTACCCCCGAAGCACATCTGAGCCTCATCTGCAAACAGTGGTGCGAAGAAATATGACCTCTTCTATGCTGACAGAATAAAGAGCGAGTGACCTTCATGAGTCCTGCTGACCCGGAGAGAGAGAGGAAGAGAGAGATGGGGGAGTGTCGGAGGAGGGAGAAATAATGACAGAAAGGGGAGAAAGAGAAAGAGGTGGGCTGGTCTGTTGGCAAAGGCCCGCGGCGCATCACTGAATTAAAAAACAACTATTTTACAAGCTCTTGTCACGAGGTCAGTAACATTCAGAGATGCCCGAGTTTCTCAAATTCCAACTAAAGAAGCGGAAGCAATTTAACCGCATGCAAACAGTCCCGCTTTACTTCCACTACAGACATAGCGGAAACGGTTATTTCAACCCATTTTCACCCTTTGTTGTTGTGTTCTGCCTTGCCAAAGAAGTTGTGTGTGTGTGTGTGTGTGCTCTCTGGTTTTAGAGCCAATGAGCCTTATGAGCTATCAAGCCACCAAGCTGTTTTTAAACAAGCAGGCGTCTGAGAATAATTGGGGCCTAAAAACCCCTTCTGAGGAGAGATAATAGGGAAAGAAGGAGGGAGGGCCCGAAAGTATGGAGAATGCAGTAGAAGGGGGGCAAAAAAAGTGCACATACATATCCAAAGTGGGTGGCTTGGTGAGTTTGGGAAAAGTTCTATTTGTCTTATCAGATCCTGTCATGCATTTCTCTCTTTCAGTCAATGAGGAGAAACACTGCAGACCACTAAAGACTACTTACCACAGGTCAGATAGAGAGAGAGAGAGAGGCATTTCTTCTGCTGGTTAAATCAGTGTTTATATGCAGAGGTCATGGCAGGGCCTTTGTGTGTTGTGTGTTGTGTGTGTGTGTGTGTGTGTGTGTGTGTGTGTGAGTGCTGCACTTATTTTTCTATCCGTAAATCCACTCACATGTTCACGCTCCACTGCCCGTTAGAAATCACGGCATGAAAATACGTCCACGTGTGTTTATATATGTGGTGCGGGTAAATATGTTTGTGCACTTTGGGTTTTTATGGGCAGCTTGTGATGTATGTGCGGGAGAATGTGTGTGTCTACGTGTTTGTCTGTGTGAGAGAGATTATCCAGCTGGAGCCCGTTTGATTGGCTTTGCAGTTAAATTTGGTATAGCGAGTAAGCGGTTCGATTAGCGGGAGCAACAGGGCTAAGTCTGATTGTTACATTCCCCATAGACGTTAAGAAAATAGCTTCTGTATCAACTTGCTGCCTGGTGACAACTTAAGATTTGCATTTCGATGTATTTAAATATTGTTGATTACTGTCCAAAGTTCAAAGATCAGACAATCAGGTCAAGGATCAGCAATCCTCTATTATTTTCTCTCACCTTAAGGCTGTACTTTCCAGACCAAGAAAAAAAAGCTATTCTTATGCCAGCTAAACCCCTACGTCACTTAAAAGGTTAATTCCCCTTGACATGCCACTACTTTCCTTGTAGAACAACACCTGCGTGTCTGCTCAGACTACAGGGACGAGCTTCCCGTTCTCATGACTCTCGCAGCCTTCTTGGTCTCTATTGACATTTTAATGGGCTTTCGTGGCTTTCAGGAGCAGACGTAGAATGATATCGTGATTATAGACAGCGAGCCCGAATGTCAGCGGTAAGTGTGAGAGGTGAATGGGAGGCGGAGCCGGGCAGAGGAAGAGGCATTGTGGTCCGCTCTAATGGAGGATTTCCTCCTCCTGTCTCTCAAATGCACCATGTGACCTGTTCAGAGAAGGAGCGGGACTGAGGACAATTCAGAGGAAGGTTAGGGAGGGCGGAGGCTAAAGTGGGTTTTCACTCCATAGAGCAGCCAGTCAATCAATCAAACTTTGTCTTCTCTTGGTCTCTGTTTTTTTCTCACTGCTCTTTCAGCAGATCAGATAGCTGTTAGAGAATCTGTGGTTCAGCTCAGTACAGAGCAGAGTTTTGGTACTGACTGAAATATGCCTGCAGCACCAAGTGTTACAACCTGCTAAGCATCAAAGAACTCTCTAAGATCTTGCTTTCTAAGTCTATGAATATATGATTGATCATTTAAGTAAACATTTGACAATTTTAGACTGTTTAAAAAAATATTTAACATTAACATTGAAATTTTTTTTTTGCTGACTAAAGTAAAGTTTTTGTTTGTTTTAACATTTTTGAGTTTGTATTTAGCAATTTTTGGTTAATTTAAAAATGCTAAACATTTCTATTTTCTCTTCTCAGATGTGAGGAGTTGCTTTTTCCCCCCAGTTACACACAGATGGAAATTAAATTTCTCCTGGTTTTGAACTGCTAGCTGGACAAAACCCTTGACTTTGTATAATGATGGATAAAATCTTTGCAACGTCACCTGCAGGTTTCCTGAAAAGCGCTTTTGAAACTCAGTGTGGTGCTCCGGTTGCAGTTATCTTCACAATGCCTCACTCTGCCTCACTACCAGCTAATCTAAAAATGAATGCAAATGTCTCTAAGCCATGAACTGTCCGATGACAGCATCCACCTGTCACTCAAACAGCCATACACTTAATTATGCTTAACTTTAAGACTTAATACAATACGAACGAGTGACTTATATAAAAATGTATCCCCTGCACGATTGTCACAAACAGGTCAAGTAACTATAGAGACCAGTACTGTTATTGTACCAGGCTGTAAACATATTTATTTCAGCTGTAAAGTTGGAAGTTTTTAACATGGGAGGTCATTGGGGATT